GTCAAGAATTCCAATCAACGAGGTGTACTTCGTTTCAATCAACGAGGCGTACTTCGTCTCCAAGCATGTCAAGAATGTGACGCCCTAGCTACTGTAGAGCCAGGAGCTCGGTCGACTACCTTTGCCGAGTGTTGCCGACGACCGCCAGAGGTCAGACTGACGTGGGGTTCGGCATCACTAGACAAAGTGTCCGCCGCAACCGCCTGCCGAGACGGAGGCGACGTCAAAGTCGAAGAAGCCGTCGAAGCAGGAGTTGGGAGGCTCGCTGTAGGAGATGAGGTGGCCAAAGTTCTCGAAGGCGAGTCTTGATCGAGCATGTCAAGAGTTCCAATCAACGATGTGTACTTCGTCTTCACGCATGTCAAAAATTCAGTCAACGAGGTGTAATTCGTCTCCAAGCACTTCAAGAATTCCTACCAACGAGGTGTACTTCATCTCCAAGCAAGCTTCCCCTGCTCAAAACTACAATTCCAAAGAATCCCTGTGACTACAAGGGGCACACACACACATATATATATATATACACATAAACTCTCATCTCAGCCTGGATTCCAGGGTGATAAGACCATGGCCACTTTGCTACCCTGCATCAGTTGAATTCATGCTAAGGCAAACCATGGAGATGTTGCCGCCCCCGCTTGGAGAACGAAAGCATTCGCAGGATGGGCTTCACACTGACAGAGCTGCCATTTGCCTAAACGCGGTGACAAGTGCTTAAGTCGGTGTGGTTAGAGCAACTCTTCGGACAGGCTGGGCAGCCAAGGCTTCCAAGATAGTAATTGCTCAAATATTCTCAACACCATCGCATACCCGCTCGTGATTGAAACATACATTGCCATACATAGCCTTTGTGAAACCAGGACCATCCCTTGATGCAGCGTCCGCCATTGGAGGGGCGCCGACCTGTTGTGCAGGTTTGGCCTGAGTTGAGCGAGTTGGTCCAAAGGGTTTCCAATGCCTGTGCTTGCTAATTGGAAGTATGACAAGATGCGAAAAGGCTGAAAAGACTTGCCCAAATCTGACAAGATGGCCATTGGGAGGGTTTGGCTGCCACCACAGGATAAGAAGACACCAGAGACACCACCCAGGAGACCCAGCCCGCATCCCAGTCACTGCTCCTAGTAGCGATACCCTTTGTTACTAGTAGTTTCTTAAAGTAGTAAGGCCAGGAGCTACTAGTAGATACCCCCAAGTACTGAGGGTCTGGAATGGTGGGTACCTAGGTACCGGCAGACCAGAGGTCTAGAATATTCAGAGGTAGCATAGTAGACCCTATTCAGAGGTAGTATTGTAGACCTTTTGAAGTATGGCATTAGACGTTGTATTACGGATTAACCACCTGCCAGCCACAGCAGCAACATAGACGATAGAGTGGCTCTTTGTATTTGTTTGTTTGATAGGCAAGAAGAAGAAAGAGGTGGATGGGATGGCCTTGACCTTCTCATTGGAGACAGCCCTAACAGTAAAGTTTCTAGAAAATAAACAAATGGCCCAGACTAATGGGGCCACGAGTGAGGGTCTAAAATGATCTGCCCACACAAAAAACATCTCAAAGAGTTTTGAAGCACCAAGGAAAATGTTTCAGACCTGCGCCCTCAAACATTCTCATTCAAGAGAGCCCTAACAGTGAAGCGTGAAAGCCAGAGACAAACAGAATATGATAGCACAGACCAATGGAACCAGGAGAATGTGACCAGGAGTGGGGGTCTAAAGTGAAATGCCCACAAACAAAACATTTCAAAGAGTTTCGAAGCACCAAGGAAATTGTTTCAGACCACCACTTTTGGAGAGAACCCCACGTGTGGGAAAAGGCTAATAGAAAACTGTCTGAGCTCATCAAAGGAACCATAGGGCCAAATCTGCTGAGCTTGAGACAAAGAAACCTGGACCGCTGAAACACCGAGCAACAAAGACGCCAGTTTTCCTGTGCGATTTTGGCCATCAACTTTGTGTGTCTTTTATAGCGACTTCATGTTATAAAAACATGTTGCTAGGAACTCTATCCTAGACCCATGCTCCCGGGTACCTAGGGTAGGGTCTAGGACCTAAGCTTCGTCGAACGCAGCGTGCTCTGGGGATACCGCCCTAGACCCCAGATTTGGGGGTCTAAACTGTGGCCCTGCAGGCCCTGCTACAGTAGTTGCGGGTATACTAGTAGCGTATAGTAGCGTCCTTGCTCCTGGTAGCGATGCTGTTTGTTACTAGTAGGTTTCTTGTTTTTGGGAAAAACGTTATGTTGAGATATGTTGAGAGAGGAACCTTTCGACTTGATCGGACTTGATGTGGAACAAGCAATCGTTGTTGAGGTCGTGTTGAGACTGTGACCTCGCAAGAAAGCCCGAGACCAAAGATACCTGAAGTGCCTTTCAAATCAGAACTCTGCTCATGGTGATATGGGCCTAGCAAGATTCTGACTGGAGGCGGTGTGCAGACCAAGACACCGGAACGACTAGTGGCCGAGATTTGCGAGGCAGGAAAGATGGGAAGATGGAATGTGCTCCTTCTTCCTGCCAAAGCTGTTTGGGTGTCGAGGTGTGCAGAGTGGAAGTACGCTGCTGAGCTGCCACAAGCAGCTGTGATGGGATTGAATGAATCCTTTGCTGAATACGTGGTGAGGGTAGGACGGTAGGAGGATCAGAGTGGTTTAAGAAGCAGTTTGTTCGGGGTAGTGTCACAGACCACGCCAATGTCATACGTACTGTATCTCTACAGCTTGGGCGCCAGAGGATGGATTATTGTAACTGTAACATTCCTGTCAATGACCGTTCTTTGGTGGGCAGGCGACTGTGGCCCCTGTGACGTTGGCTGATCTGGAGGCACCGGCTTCTGCATTTCTATAGTGCGTGCCCGACACAAAATCAACGCATGGAGTTGCAGAACCGCCAAGCACCGCACCACTCTTGCCTCCCTAATGTTGCGTGCTTCTCGTGTGTAACTCTTGTTGCGATTGCCTGACGACGATGGCCGTGGGCCTTGCATGCTAGAGAATGGAAATGATCGATAAGAACACGATGCTGAACATGTGAAACGGATTGTGCCAGGCAGTACCCTGTGCCGTAGAGACCTTGAAGGCAGAGTTGTCCTTCGCATAGCTGGATGTCGTAGTCAAGTGCCCCGTGACAAAGTCCATTTTTCTGAGTTGGCAGAAGTGTGGGAAAATGACATGATGACGATGGTTTGCAAGCGTACGATTTCAACATGCCACAAGATGTATGCTTTTCATTTTCCCACTGAATGTCATGCCGCTGATAGTCTTCATCTCGTCAAGAGGGGTCGATGACAGAGCAGCCAGGCCATCCCAGCGCCGCAGGAGGCATGGAATGCAGAAGTGTTTCCTTTTTCGAGCGATCAACTTCAGTCTTATTGAAGGATGGATGCAGTGCTACCCCTCGTAATTATGCTTGTTTTCGCACACAATCCCACAGAATTAAGTACTTGAGTGCTTCTTCAACCAAGTTTTGCAATGTGCCGTAGGTGGATGTGACAACCTTGCCAACAACGCTGGTACTATCGCGCGAGGCAAGATAATTTCTTTGGACGACCGACAATATTTGCAAAACACGTGTCCTTTATTGTTTTCGCTCATCCCTGTTTGCCCTTCTACAAGCGCAGAACATCATATTTCTAAACGGCAGACCCCGACAGTCAAGAAAGCACAGCCCGTGGAAAGCTGGAAACGAACTGCAGGAAAGGAGCAGCCTCGTCAACAAAACTCGAGGGTAAACTGAAGTTCTTGTCAACCTTTGAAAGGCCAGGGTCAGACTTGGTTCCTGACCTTGAGCCTGGGGCAGACCACAATATGACTCAACTATCCTACCTTTGGAAATAGAGACGCCGGCAAGATGGAACAAAAAGAATGGACAGGCTGATTTGCAGCAGACTTTAGCCAGCAAGGTCTCGTACCAGAAGGGGCAATGAGGAATGGGTCACTATATAAAATGTACGTAGGGTCATGTAGAGCTTACTCCAATGTAAGACGAACATATGCATACATGCGTGCAGAACATAATCTTAAAAACAACATTGCATGTCATAAGATACATTACATTAACACATACATGCACACAGACACACACACACAAACACGCACAGAGACGGACAGACAGACAGAGACAGAGACAGAGACAGAGACAGAGACAGACAGACAGACAGACATTCTACATACATTCTTTAAGTCTTGCAGGCGTTTCTTCCAACATCCCCACGCTGTCAGGCATTGCCTGACGCCTTGCCCGAGGCTTTTCCGGAAGTTCTGGTGCCATGGTGTGGGTATTTCAGGTCCTAATATTTGCATGTGCTTGATCAAGTTACAGTTAACTGATGCCAGCACTACTTCATTCGACAAGTCCACTTCAGGTTGACCAATTCCTGCGTAAAGATTGCCCTTATCAATCATTACACACCTTAACAACAGACAACAGGGACCTCATGGGATCTAGCTTGCTCATGAACAGTTTTCATCGAAACATATCACATCATAATATCACTATTGTGGACACAGGCGGGCACCTTTCTTGTAGTAGTAGGGCTAAAATTGAGTAGTGAGCGTCCGTGCTACACAGGTTCCTTTTGCTAAAGGTGATGTGCATTGCACAGTTTTGCCCTCGATAACGCTCCGCCAATGTCGCAATTGGCCGTGGCCTGCGTGTGCTTTGGGCTAGGTTTTACCACCCATGCTTTTCCACCGGTAGCACTGAGACGTGTCTCAATGTCCCGCCACTCTCCAACGAGCAGACCAGAAAGTCTTGATAGCGAAATGCGCGGAGATTTGGAGAATCATTTGCATGTGAGTCAGAACAGTCAGAAGCCTGCAAAAGCGATCCGTCCATGGCGTTTTCGCCTTCACCCATCTGCAGCATCAATAAAAGCACATGTCCTGTTGCATTATATATGGTTATCGTAATTACTGCGACCGGTCTCCAGAAAGTGGTATATATCATGTTTAGACCAGTCAAGAGCGACGTGCAGATTCGAACTACAGCAATTTTGCCTAGCTTGGCCGTGCATCCTATATCAATAAGCTTTGGTGAGCTATTAAATCAAAGATACGCTCACACATGCTGAGACAATCATGCTCACGCGCACACATGCATCAAGTATTTGAGGGCACCAGTGCTTGAACACCTCCAGGCTTTGTCCACACCAGTGTTCAACGCTGTGCCGCTGAGCCTGAACTTCGAGGCGGGGAAAGGCATTGCAAACCTCGAAAAACAGAACAGATCACATTTTTAAAGATCTTATTGAGAAACTGTTTAAAGACCATCAAGTTGTTTGATTCTGCTTCCTTCCGTTTTGTCCGCACACGGGTGTTGTGGTGGGGATGCGAGCTATTGCAAGCGATGTGCTCAGCGAGAACTTCGACATCCTGCACTTGGGAGCAGGAAGGCGGTATGGCATAGGTCTTTGGAAGATAGTGGAAGAACCCATGAAGACGTCACACGCTGTTGCTCAACCTGCGCCAGCACTCCTGTTGACACCACCTAAATTAGATTAAATTGGTTGGAAAGACCCACCACATCCCACCACTATGAAAACCAACCTGCTGACTTAGAGCAAAGTGACGTAGGCATTGCTACAAACCCGCGGCAGGGCGAAGAAGTTGTGAAAGAGGAGGAGGCAGAGGTGCTGTCAGTTGGGTATGACGCGCAGGTTCTTTCAGAGGGCAACAGTGCTGCGACAGGTTGCTCCATCCGATGCTGCGGCTGCGGCGTCAGAGGCAGAATGAGGGCGATGGTGGTGTCTGCAAAGCATCAGACTTCAAGACGCAGGGTATGATACAAGTCTGGTGTACGAATCCAACAACTCCTTCAAAGAAGTCAGCTACGCCCATCGTCCTCATCCGGGCAAGAGAGCAGAGAAGAGAAATGTACCACGATAGACTTCTTGACATTGGCGCAAAGCTTCCGGACCGATAACAGCCCCTCGGTGCAGCATAATATAGATATGACCAAAGCCAACGGTAGACGGAAGCATACCAACATATTTATTCAGTGGACTGTAGAGTGAAGAGCAAAGATAGTGCCGATGGTGCCCAGTGCCGCCTGTAAAACTAAATGCAGGCCACCAACTCTCACTGACTGTCACGGCTGCATTTACTGCAACAACTCATCTATTAGAAGGCTTCACCAGAACCATCACGAGCTGCAGAGCATTTTAGATGTCTGCCAATGGCGACGCCAAGCGACGCAGAACTCTGGAGAAGACCCACTTGCAGCTCCGTGCTTGGATGGCAAAGAGACATGGGACCGGGACAGAAACGTCTTGTGTTGTGAACGTTGAAGTGTCAAACTACGCCGCACCGCGCCGCAACGCGCCTCGTCTCAGGTACTGCGGTGACGTCTGAGCAAGGCAAACGACCTGCACAAGAAGATCGGTTTCCTGGACTTGGTGTTGGGGAATTTGAGATTTTGAACATGATTTCAGTGTTGCCCTGAGAGAGCATGAGGAAATGTGAGGAAATCTGAGGTATGTGTTGATTCCAGACCTGGCTGCACTTGCTGGCGGATGGTCGCACTTGCCCGAGCCCTGCAGTTTGTTTGGAGTCTTTGATGGGCAGCTTGGACGAAAGAAGGACACAAAAGCTTGGAACTGAAATGGGGTTTTCTTTTGCGAAACTGTTGGGTTGAACCTTGAGTTGAGTACGGCAGGCAACTTTACTCTACTCAAATATACGTGAGTGTATATATACATAAAACATCATAAAACATGTTCTTTTAAACGAACATTATACTCAAACTTGCAGCACACATATCATGAAATCCATACGGGCCCGTTTGGCAGGCACATGGGGGCCACATGCTCTGAGTTTATGGCTAGACGTTTGCCAGAGAAGCTCTTGGAACAGCTCAGTAATTCACAGCAGCTGGTGTCTCTGCAGCATTGGAAGAAGGTTGAGCAGGAACCCCTGTTGGAAAATAGTCCATGTTGAACAGGGCCAGCAGGAGTCTGTGCTGTTAGGAGCATCTCTAGTAAAGGCTGGCCCAAATACATTTTCTTGGACTGAATTGAGAGTGCATGGGCACATCTCTTCCGGACTGCAGGAAAAGATCACTACCCTGATGGAGGAACTCTTCAAGGAGTTGGACGATGACTTCCTTACCGAGCATGACTGCCCTGATGGCTCCACTGCTATCATCGCCCTAGTTTTGGGGACGGACCTCTTTATCGCAAACCTAGGCAGGGATGAGTGGCTCACAGCCACTAGAACGACGAGTGCTTGAATTCTTATTCACGCTCAGTAATTTGTCTCAACATCTTGATTCAATTCTAATTATTAGCAAACATTGCTACTAGTAGTAAGGCCAGGAGCTCCTAGTAGCTTCCTTGCTCCTAGTAGTAAGGCCAGGAGCCCTAGTCAACATCTTGAGTTCTCAACAACATTCCCCGGCTTTGTTGCTCAGAGACTCCTTGAGGTGATAGCAGCGGCGTGCTGTGCGGCGAAAAGGCCACGACGCCTTTCATTTTTCCCCATAAGCCTGGGGCTGCCATGGAAAAGAAGCGGATCAGCGAAGCAGGCCAGTTCCATAGCACGTTAGCCTTTGTACGGAGGGTTTGAATAAAGAGTTGGAACTGCTTCAAGGAGAGGCACTGGGTGTGGCTGTATAGAGTCAGGGCTTCAGCAGAGGTGGCCACGTGCTCGACTTGGGTGGCACTTTGCGCGTTGTGCATCCTGACTTCCAAGAACGCATTGCGGAGCTTCGTGCTCAAAGCTTCTTGCCATTCTGTGCACGTCACATTCATTCGCATTCACTAAACTCAGTTTCTCAATGTGTCTCGATTTGGTTTGGGAAAAGCTTCAATGATGAAGCATGGCCTCGCGCGAAACAATATCAACGGAAAGCAATTTGCGTGATACCTTGCATATGCTTTGCACGTTCGGCCTGAAACTGAAGTACGATATACTGCAATCAAGGTGCTGCTGGAATTGCCGGAGACTGGCCACAAGCACTGTCTCTCAGTCGGGCTTTTGGGGACCGAGACTTCAAGAACCTGCTGCTTGGTGCTCCACAAGTCACCTCAGCACCACATTGAATTCACATGAATCAGAGCACCCTGATGCACATATATATAATTACATGTGTGCTTTGAATATGATACAAATATGAATATGTATAAAGCCACTGAACTCACAAGTCACTTAATCTTTATTTTTCAAGGTTGGTTTTCTGGAGCTGCCACTCCTCGCCTCAGAACATTTCAAAACTGTAGATAGAATGGGAACAGGATGCTGAAAAGAGCTTCCGCCTGGGTTCTCAACAAAATCACTTGCTTCGCTGAAACTTGTAGACCCTGTTAAAGCACCATACAGGCTGCGGGATTTCTCCAGGATGATGTTGTATGGCCGACCTTGACGTGTCTCATTTCTTGCTACCTTGACATGCTTTGCCGAGTTACGATGGGTTTCAACGTGTTGATTTGGTCAGCTGCTGTGCCGACGTCGTGCACGTGCAGCTGGAGACACAGCACAAAGCCTTGACCTTTTGGACCTACAAGCTATGCTGCCAATATGTTCACAGAAGTAATGATGTGTTACTCTGGGAGATGATGCAAGTCGTCATGCATCATCATGGGTCAATATGGGTATCATGTAATGGCCTCCCTCAGCAAGTTGATTTTGCCACTACGTTGTCTTCAATGAGGTCTTGGTTTCAGATGGTGTTACGGACGTGCTCTCGCTCGAGGAGGTGTCACGGCAAGTGATGCGTCTCAGTGACCCAGCTGCTGCCAGCAAGGCGATCCGAGGATCTTCTGCCAGTGACGTACTGCTTTCTCTGCTGTAAAATAGACGTGATGCCAAACACCCACAAAGGACGATGAGTGAGACCTTCATAATCTTCACATTATAGAATTCCATACAATTCCTATCTACGTAGCACTAGGCAGACCACCAAGCTTTGACCCACAGCAATGTATGCCGTATACGAGTGCATCTCCACCACGGGATTGAGCCCTTGCCATGTATTGCATATATATATATATATTTGCATGTTACCTCTGATTTTGGGCATTGACTCGGCACAGAACGACCCTGGATTTCTGCAAGATCTCCACCATTCTTTTTGTTTCCCCTGAGGGATGTTGATGGATAGTGATTTGTAGGTAAGCATTGCTCATTTGCCTTTTCACACCTGCGCAGGCTGTTTGCAATGAAAGCTTCCGTCGGTGCACCACAGACAATGTGACTGCCGTGGCCGTCCTGTTGGACTGGACGTGTCCCAATTTCGAGAAGGGTAGCTGATTCGTTCGCTCTGCAGTGCAAAGATCACCGGCCAGAGAACCGAGACAGACAAAATACTTTGGATGTGGCAAGCTTTGAGTTCAGAAAGTATAGACAGCCACCTGTGTTTTGGACGGGAGTTGGATGGACATCAAACGCGTTGAAACTGGGCAATCATAGCGGCAGCTGAATGCTGAAGGTTCTTTCAGAAGACCTTGACAGATCATGGCTTGGAATGACATTGCATTGCAGGCACTTCGTCATGCAGTCGAGCAGCAACAACCTAGTGGTTTGCGGGAAGCGCTGGCCGAGGTCATGCGCATACAATACAAAGAATTGGAACATCCATGACGCAATGTTAGTTGACCGTGGTGATGTTTTAACCATGCTGACGGCGCCACACACATGAAGAGATCGGTCGAAGTTTGTTCGCTGAATCACTCAGATCTTGAGAGTGTGTGATGATTGGAGAATGGTGTGATGGTGGCCTCAGGTGTTTTTTTGGGAGATCAAATATCCACTGTACCATGCTTCCAGGCTGTTGCTGCTGGCAGTGGTTGGGAATTGATTGAGTGGAAGCCTGAGCGACGAGGAGGTTCCCGAAGGTTCGAGACAGGGTCCTACTTGGTAGCCGCGTAGCCCTCAATGATTTGTGCATGTGCATGCATGTGCCATAGATGCAATGCACTATAGTGCACTGGAGAGTTTCGAAGTTACATGGAGACTTGGCGATGTTCTCAGATTGTTTGGCGATGTCAAGCCGCGTCAAACTGCGATTCCTTTAGCCGGATGACACACGTGTTGGCGCTGAAGCAACGAACAAGGTGGGCTCACGACAAGTGCCGCGAGTTGGAGCATGAAGTGCCACCTCAGCATTCATCCATGAATCCATAAGCATTGCATGGATCAATATCAATGTAAATTTTCCCATACAGTTATCGGACAGACGGTCAGCAGTTTTCAGAATTTTGAGGTGCATTCAGACATGTGCATTCTTTGAATTGAGACTGGTTTAGCTCCTAGACTAGACCTGGGCCAGGGAGCAGCATAGCAGGTGTTTTTTGCTTTTTTCAGGCTTGGAAGGAAAAGATGCAACAAGCAGCCATGGCTGCTTTGCACAAGGTGCAGGAGCAACCTCGGGTGCGGAAGCCGAGCGCTCCGATGGTTGACCATTTTCCTTCCCTGCGAGATGGGCCATGCTTCTAAGTTGTCAAAAGAAGCGATTTCAGCTAAACTGGGCCACAGCTAAACTGGTTTGCTTGTTTTTTGAGCATTGCAGCATTTATATAACAGTCATTTATATACTTACTTTGTTTCCTAAGATCGTTTGTTCTGAGTTGAGCAATTCCACTGAATTCAAGGAAAGATGCCGCGCGTCAGGTTGGTGACCGTTTGGGTCTATTTATGAATTTCTGGAAGTCTGAGGCCTCTGCTGAGGCCCTGTCAGACGCATGTGAGCAAGCTTGGCAGGTGCGGGGAATAACATGATCAGATTTCAACCTCACATCGATGAGAGATGTTTAGAACCTCGCAGTGTGTGCGGCCAACAAGGTCATCCCTGACCTGATGTTGTACCGGACGTCAGATGTTGTACTGAGCAGCGTCCCTCCCTGACCCGATTTGACACTGCCGTATTGACCGAGTCATCGAGGGTGAACTCGAGAGATGCCGATGTGTCAAGCCGTCGGTAGCCCACGAGTTGGTCAGGCCGGTGTGCCAGAAAAGGCATTGGAATTGGCGCGTGAGGAGGGGCAATGCTGACGTTCAATGGAAAGGAGACAGGCACCCTTCAATTAATTGCAACGGGCCCTGTGAAGGTAAAATAAGTGAGATTGTGACGGGGTGGCTGCGATCACTAAGTCATGAAAGTTGTGCAACCGACCAGCTGCAGCTGTAGGAATGCAGAGACCGGCGCTTGCGCCAAGTGGCTGAAGAGGCTGACAAAGTCGACAACAAGGGACTTCTAGGCCACCAAGGTGTTCCCATATTTTCGCTGCAATTAGATGCAACTAGAATATATTCGATGCAACTACCACATACCAGCCGCCCAAGACTATCCCCGTTGTACATGCTGTTGAGATGGCAATGACCGACGCGCGCTCACGTAGAGATGAGTAGGAGCATGTGAGACAGCTAGGAAAAGCTCTTCTAGCGGTGAGTGTGTATGGCTTTAGCACAGCAGGCCTTGCTCTCAGTGCTTCATGAGCGAAACTTCTCGACAGAGTTGATGGAGCAATTGGAGTTTGGTCCCGAGAGAGAGGGAGAGATCATGAGAGATCTGCATTTCTGCATTGTGTTGCGCTAGACATGGCGACAATGTATCCTTTCGGTACTGTATCTCTTGGCAATGCCGTAGTGGGGTCATGCAGCTGATTTAAGTACTCTTTTGCTCATGGGTTGGCATGGATCATTTAAATTTGCAAGTGAAACAATGCGGAAGCACACGCTCCAGTCACGTCAACTTTGAGGTCAATCAGACTTTGCAGTTGGTTGTGAAAGCCACCACTATGGGTATGTTCGCATTTCATTGGCAGTCACTGCAAGGAAAGTGATTCAGCAAGCTGAGAAGGCACAAGCGAGTCTGCGGAGATTTTGCTGCCAGTGGGCATCCCCTCTGGCAGCACTTTGCGACTCAGCCCTTGCTGGGTTTGTGTGTGCAGAATGCGACTCATTTTGGTCCAAACGTTTTCAGGTTGCTGGATTTCAGTGCAGCGACGTAGAGGTGTACCAAGCTTTGCACCCAGGGACACATCCACAAATACGCCAGGCTGCCGTCTCAAGCGATTTGGTGAACTATGCGTTCAGTCGGCTGGAGGTCATCAGGGCATTTTTGTCAGCTGAGTTTAGCAAAGCTAGATGACTATCCCACAAAGCTGTCTGAGTCATGGAGGTCTAACTGCGAATTAGAAGATCTGACATAAGCCGTCAGCAGAGCAAAGGCTTGAAATGGCTTGAAATAGTTTGACATATTGACAACCGGTGAACAAACACACGCGAAAGACCTACAAGCACTTGCAGGAAATTCGGAATCACGTGTGCCCAGCTCAGCGAGAGAAGGTGTCGACACCCGAAAGACTTCTGATTCCAAGCGCAAGAACCACACGGCCAGCTTTATTGTTATTGAAATGACGTGATTGAGCTGATTGAACAATTTTTCGAAACCAGGCTTCATGATCAGTATGCCCGCAAGAGGCCTGCACAGGTTGGCTGATTTCTCTTTCCAGTCAGTCCGGCTCAACAGGTGATTGACCAAATCGCCATCCAAACTACTTCTGAAACATATATAACATTGCGGTAAAGAGGGAACTTCGTTCACCACAAACCATGACACCTATATAACTTCGTTACTTGCATTGTATACTACTAAGACTGCACTGCATTGTAGGCTACTCTCCAGCTAATGACTGGCCCATGTGTGCTCTGAGATCTGCCTCCACTATCCTCCACTCAGAAGAGTCTCAATTAATCTTTAAATTATCACAATCTATGCATATCTGTGCCATGACGCCACACTCAAGACCCCCGCCCCACACCAAACGCTATTTTCAGTATGTACTTGTCATTAACCTTGCCCGCGTGGATTCTTCGGATGATCCAGCACACACTTGAACAATCAATGCACATGTGCATTCCAAACACGACAGATGCGCACAAGCATTGAGTCCACCACTAAGTCACCACTTTCCGCTTTGACACTTCGGCCTTGCGAAGCCGATCGCGGCATATTGCCGCGACCCCCACGCGGAAGCTGTGAGTTGCTTCAGCCATGGGAGAGCCACTTGACGGACGCTGTTGCAAACTTTGGGCATGGGCATCCTTTGTAATTACATGCAACTGAATCCTTGTTCTAATCGACAACGTCGGCACGGGATTGTTTGACCCTGGAGACTGCCTGGAGGAGTGGCTTTATTTGCTCCATAGGAGGCCTGCTCAAGATCATATGTTCAGCTGTGTTGAGGGGTCCCATCATTTGGAGAAAAACTCAGAAGCTATAACTACTGCATCCTTTTGGGTTGGTTGGATTATTTTCTGTATTGCGGGAGAGATGATTCAAGTGTGCCGGACGTATGTACACCATGCCAACTAGTGTCCCAAGTGCGGCACTTTGTTCTGTAAAGCTGCAGTGAGGAGGCGTCAGCACTTGTCTCGTTACTAGTAGCACATGTGCTACTAATAGCAATACACTTGTTACCAGTAGCGATGCACTTTGCTACTAGGAGCTTTTTGTTACTACTAGTAGTGCCCTCGTATCCTTTCTGACTTTGATACTGTGACTTTTGGAATGTTGGGATCAGCTGGCGGTTGAGGATCTTGGTGACGTTGGTGGTTGCGACAGCGAGCTGCGGATATTCAGTACAGTATTCGGTTTTAACATTCAAACACATGCTGGCTAGTGGTAGACAATTTACAATCATTCCCTTCTCATGCACCGTCCTTTCACCCAGAAGATTTAAACCAAAGATCCCACCAGAGTAGAATTATTTTTAGTCAAAGCCAAAGCCCACTGTTTCATAGTCCCATGTAATGTCCATCATGATCAAGGTCGCCAAAAGGCTATGCAGAGCAGCTCGGCCAGGATTTTGAGGATTCTAGGTTGGCTAGCACTCATGCGGAGTTTCCACCCTGCTTCTTTATGCTGTTTCCACAGAATGTTTTGGTCAAGCTGCAGGCGGGCTCCTTTGATTGGACCTGGTGAGAGGCCTGTTTCGCTACCAGAGCGCCCCTTGGCTTTCCACTTTTTGCGTCCCTCAGCCACTGGGACGTTTCCGCATGTGAAATCTATGTTTAAAAAGTAAATGCAGTGAGGCCAAGAAGAAGAGGGTCAGGAAAGTATGCCTCTAGCGGACTCTAGCGGTGGTCAATCTTGATAGCATGCTCCTTCGCACCGACTGAAGCAGGATAGGGCATATCGGATTGGGACAATTTGACAGTCCACTCCTTGCGCCCAAATGGCCATCTGGATCAATCCTGCATCCAACGCCTTCGAACCATGCAGGAACATAATTCGATGCTACAATTCACTTCCATGCCATTCTCAGACATGCTAAGGACAAGTTTCAACTGCCATGTATAGTTTACTGCGTGCAGAGATGGTGGCATCTTTG